CTCAGGGTTCTAACTTGCAAAGGCATGTAAATATGCCTTCGCGAAAGTTCCGCGATGGTGGCGAGAAAGTTACTTCTTGATTCGTGAAGAAGAAGGTCATTCCGGGATGAAGGAATTTGGATCAGCCAGATAATCTGGACACCAGAGTCTTCGACTAGTCACAGGAATCCTTTGAAGATCGGGGCATCTGCTACCTTCCGTGGCTTCTCGTGTTGTTCCGCACCCCTTGGCAGTGCGAAGACTGTAATGGGTCATGGGTCATGACTCAGGCCTCCGAAGGGCTCCTCAAGCTAATGCACGACAGTTTGTTTTCTCCTGAAGGCTGCAGCAAGAGCTGCAGAAACTGGAGAAGGCGCAGTGCCTGCAAAAAACGTTAGCGGCTGTTTCGTCTGTGAACAGGATTTTTTGTCACGAGGAATACAACGCCTTTGGAGAAGCTGGAAAGGAGCACTTGAAGGCGAAGAAGGTTAAGGCAGAGATAGACAAGGCGCGCCCCAAGTTGGCGCGAACCAGAGTTGCACAGCAGCTCCAGCGACGGCTCGGGTCCAGTTACACAGTTGCTTGCAGGTCGACCAGCCTGTGCATGTCTCACAAATGCTCCTTCAATCAGGTACAGGAGCAGCTGGCCTTGATGGAAAAGAACAAGCCGCGCCGTGCATGTTTTGACGGTCAGATACGAAGGAAGAAACACCAACACCATGATATTACTCGGCTAAGTGCCGCTCACAGACACTTCAGGAAATGGAATGCTGACAACATGTGCAAGACTGCACCGGGCTTACTCGGGCATGTTCATGCATACTTAGTTTTTTTTGCTGTCCCATGGTGTGATATAGGAGTCATCATGTCGGGGGCCGGGGCAGGCAGTCCCTTTCATGTCAACCTGTGCTTTAAGTGTGTGCAGGCCGACCAGAAGATGGTAGTCTCAGAAACCAGAGAAACGCCTGGGTGCCATGCCTCAGATTGCGCGATTGAGTTATCACAAGGGTCCTCTGGACATTGCAAACAGCTGAGGCCGGAGCCCCGGCTGCAAGGCGAAGCGGTCGCTGAAGGCAAGCTTCTAATCGCATCCGTGGGATTCAAACTCTAACATCGGGGCCGAGAGCGCAGGGAGAGAGCCGGCCTAGCAGGCACAGGCGAGCCTGTGTAGAAGTAGAAGTAATCCGCAGAGTCGAGCTCCTTCCAACTCTCTTGAAGCCGCCCTTGCTGCTATCGACCAGGATACTGTGAGTTCATCGAAGAGAACGAGGCCGATGCTGTTGATGCCTCTTCGAACATATGGGACCTTCGTCAGATGCTCTACTGGGGATGGCTTAGCCCAGCCTCCTCTGGCTGTTCAGGATTTACTTGAAAGCTATATCTCTTTGGGCGCCGAAGAGGACTTGGTGGAAGCGCAGCCATCTGTGGTAAGGCTGTTTAGGCTGCGAGTGCTTAGTGGCCAGGTATTTATTCTGGAGTTGTGTGTAGCACGACACGATTTTGGAGAAGCTTCCAGCCAGACTAGTGACTAGTGGCATTCGTTCGCGAGGACTTGGAGAAGGTAGCCAACTTTCTCCGCGAGCATGGTGGCAAGCTGCTTCAGGGAGTGTGGTCCTTGGAAAAAAATGCACAGCACAGCAACTCTGCAATGCTCCATGCTTGTCGGTTCACCCTTCTCAACTTCACTTAGCTCAATTCGTCGCCAGGAGCATGCCGAGTCGAGGGCCCAGTGCTCTCCTTTCATCCCCTTTCCGAGCTTTAGATATTTGTGCCGGGATGGGCCACTCCAAAACATCTTGTGGATCACCCCGCCACTGTTTGACGGAAGCGTTGCAGTGTGGAGTTTCGACCTTCAGAATGCAGGGTGCTGCAGGTCACTGTGACATTGCAGGCATCATTGTGTCCTCAGGTCCTACCTATTGTTAGATTGCCTGGAGAAGGAGATGAACGATCTTCACCAGGACCAGTCTGCTAGACCAGCCTGTCGGTCTCGGATGTCTCGGTGAAAGATTGTGGAAGCAGGAGATGGCTCAGTCTGCACGGCAGCATGCGCCTCAGCAACTGCACGTTGGAACGGGCGTCTGCCCACTTCATGCTCATGCGATCTCCCGAGCACAGCAGGTTGCAGTTGCTGACACAGCTGCGTGAGTTTTCCCGCGCGGCCGGACGGCCCGCACGTGGGAACCCAAGAGACGCTGTTGGTTATAAACTAAGGGCCTGCGATTGAAATGCAACATATTTGCCTGTGATGACATAACAAGACAGCTACTCTGCACGGCATCACACCAGCCACGTCTACTTCAAAGGAAAGATGTCTTCTGCAGCTTGCAGCCTAGCATGCAACGAGGAGACTCGGTGAACCCCATCTTCCAAAAGTTGATTGAGAGCCTTGGCAGGTTTGTTTAGCGGCGTTTGATGGTTGCGAGACTGCAGATCAACGGCAGAATTTCAGCCGGTCTCTTCGATCCTAATTTGCCCAGGCATGAAGGAACAAGAGAATCCTTCGATGCCTCCAGCTTGCACCAGCATTTTGTTCAGAGTGATGCTGTTGCGGTGAATGCTAGGTCACTGAGGGTTCTGGAGCCTGTCTGGCAAGGAGACGGTGCAGAACTTCATCCAGCGTGTGGAGCGCCGTGCGGTGGTCAAGAAGAAGGACAGTCACATGGGGTCTCTTCACACTAGAGCTGAAGTGCTGGGAAGAGCGTGAGGAGATGGATGCCGAAATGGAAGAAGAAAGGAAGAAGCTCAATCCTTTGGGGCCTGGAGGGCTGGACCCGTTGGAGGCGAGTGCCAGAAGCGGATGAGCGGATGCCTTTTAGCCTTGTTGTGGATCACGAGGTCTTCGAGACGCTGCCAGCAGAGATGCAGAAACTTGGTTTCTTTGGCTTGTCGTAGCTTGTTGTGGGATGCTTTGGTTCCTTGAAATTGGTTTGGGGGTCCTGTCTCCAACACCTCAACTTGTGTGAAGTGCGACTCAATACTTCTCTGATGTGTGAGGAGAGGTTTGTTTAGCAATATGTGTGTGTGTGTCATCTTTTGTGTTGCTTTTTGTCGGCTTACGGCCGGTTTGCCTCTCAGGGCTTTTTCCTGGACTCCTGCTTCCCTGCTTTCTTGATCCATTCTTCTTCTGCTTGCTTGCCCGTTTACACTTCCGTTTCGTTGGGTTAGATTCTTGTTGTTCGTGGTTGGTTGCTTGCGTATCGATTCTCGATTTCCGCTGGGCCCCGGCTACATACACTCGTTTCAAGCAAAGCCACGCCCAGCAGAGCCGAGCCAGGCAGCCTGGAGGCCAGAGCCAAGCCAGGATGTAACGTGTGGGAAACCTTAGCGAGGTTTGAAAGTCTCGCACTGGCAGTATACTTATTCTTCAGAGCACTCCTAAACGCTATCGCAGCAACGGCGCTGAGGACGTGCCATGTCGAGTTCAAAACTTTCTCTAAGGTGCTACCCCAATAGTGCCAATTGTCATAGTCCAGAACTTGCTTTTTCGTTGTCATCGTAGCACTTGCAGGTGTGCATTGGGGGGGGGGGTAGGTCTGGAGGGTGGCTTGCCCCTCTGAAGCAAAGCAACTCCAAACCTGTGTAAGCCAAGCAAAGCCCTTTTCAAGACTGCCCCTCTTGGGGTTTGTGCCATGGCGCCAAAGGCCTCAGCGGTGCTGGAGACCTTTCTTGAAGTTCTCACAAGAGCGGAAATGATGATATCAAGCAGCATGGTTTACTGTAACTCGCAACAGTTGCACAAGCCAACGTCATGATTTTAAACGCGTTGAGGACTTGCCACGTCGAACCAAATCGCTCAAGCAAATCCCCATCAGTACTTGAATCAGGGAGGACGGGTTTTGTTTCTGTCATCGTTGGAAGTCTCTCACTGACAGGTGGGAATGGGCGCAGAGGAAGTCCGTGCCAAGTGCAGTCTTTTTGTTTTCGATTCAGGATCGCTTTCAAGACAAAGGATGCTCAAAGGTTACAGGCAGCTGCAGGGCCGGCCTGTTGCAGGCCGCACCGCGGTGGTGGCAGAGTGTCCTGGGTGTGTCAGCCAGGTGGAGGCGCTGCCGGAGGAGGAAGCGAGGTACCACCTCCAGCGCTGCGAGGACAGTGGCCTCTGGGTGCCCAGCCAGCAGGCACAGAGCATTCTCAGAGAACTTTACTAAAGAACAAAGTGCAGAACAGGTTATGTGGGATAAAGTCATCAATTGTTGTGTGCCCCGTGCAGGGCAGCCCTCCTCCATACCGAGCCTGAGGCATCAATCGATTGCCAATCTTGTGACGGAATATATGCCTGGATTCTTGTTTATCTTCACAGTAGATGGTTGCGAGACCACAAATGACAAGCTTGCTGCGCAGACTAAATCGTGGTGAATCTGAAGCAAAGGAGCCCAGCCTTTCCGTCACAACTGTCGATAGCGCGCAGCTGTCAAGACGGCGGCTTGAATTTAATCTTGCAAGCGGATCCTCGAAGGATTGAGAGATTGAGAGGTTTATCCGCTTGCCTGCCTGCACGAATCTCGAGCACACAGCAAAGACCTACCTGTAGCTCTGAAGCTCCATAGCCAAAAGTCAAAGGCCCTCCTGCATGCTGCAACGGGTTCTCGCCTTGGATTTCCCGTCATCCTAAGCTCTAAATAAAGGGCAGTGAACGGCAGGATGCAAGGGCAGCCGTCGTACAGGGTAAAAGGGCGAGGAGGCGGCCAGCAATCGAGAGCCTCGGGCAGTGTTGCAAGCCGCACTGCGGTGGTGGTGGTGGCGGCAGCAACCTGTCCCTATAGGCTCCAAGTCGAGGTGAGGAAACGATCGCGCGACAAAGCGAGGGTCCAGAGTCGACAAGCGTGATCAGTAATGGCGCAAGCCGGGGAATAATAACGCAAAACTTCGGCAGTAATGGCGCAAGCTTGGGCGGGGGACTTGGGGCGCAAACAACTCAACCACTCCTAAAGCCGTTTGGGCGTGAACACAGCGAGCCCAGGAGCCCTCCTGATTCACTCAAAAGTTTCAAAAGACTACAGTAGATGAAGCAGAGACACGAAGCATGCACATAGAAGTAGCAACAGTCGGTACAGTGGAACCACTGGGTGGAGCTCACTGCTTCGATGCGACCCTCGCTTCGCCTTTTACGCGTGATGGCGACCCCCGCCCCGGCGCGGCCACACAAGATGCGCACAGCCGCCTTCCGGCGCAAGCGCGCCAAGCTCTGCCGGCTGGGCGAGCCTCTGCAAAAGCAGCGTGGGCCCGCCGCTGGTCGAGCTTCAACTCCGCAGAGGTTGGGAAAACCGCGAAGGCCCGCGCTGCGTACGGCCCGGCCTGCGACACCAGCAGCGATAAAGATGCGGCATCACTGTGAGCAACATGCAACCCAAGCGTGCTTTTGTCACTGGCAAGGGTCGCTCGATGCTGCCAGCCTCGCAGAAAGTCTCCAAACTCGCGTTGTTCGTGCCCGGGCGGCGGCAGCAGCAGGGAATTCCAGGCAGAAATGTCGTAGCCCTGCTCGCAGAGGCAAGCGGCTGGGCACCGCGGTATCAGTCGAGAAGTGCAGGCCGCGGACCAAACGAGCGGCTGCCAGCGGCGCCCGTGCACGAATGGTCGGCCAGCAGTCCCCCTGAGACAGCAGGGTATAGCAGGGTCGCCAGACACAAATTCGTCAGTCGCAAGCACAAGAAAGCAGGAGGAGCCGCGCATTGCAGGTCACCGACGCTGGGCAAAACGGTGAGCAGCTGGTCCTGCAGTTCTGGGTCTCACGCTTGCGGCGCAGATCAAGTTGCACGAAAGCTCACTCCCAAGCGGCGCGCCAGGCACCAGCAGCCCTTGCTGGTCCGCCGGGAAAGAGCAATCGCCCGTCCAGACTGGCTGCGCGCCGACTGGTTGGAGCCGGGCAATGCTGGTTGCGCCACGACATGTTCAGAGCCGTTGTCGTCAAACAGGGGCACTGCCATAAAACCAGCACGCAAAGGCTAGGATTGGGACCGGAGACCTTCGAGCTCTTGTTCTTCATATTCATATTGAGGTTGACAACGATATTGACATTGATATTGATAATGACATTGTCGTTGCTGTCGATATTTATAGTGGTAGTGAAATCGATATTGATGCGGATATTGATAATGATATTGTTATGAGTGGCAGGTCTTGCAACCTCTGAGACAAGGTAAATCAAGTACATGTGTGAGTTATCTGAGAGAGGCAGGTGTGGTTTTGGTGAGAGAGATTTCGGGGTTGTGAGTTTCTTGTGAGCGGTAGATGTGATCTTTCTGTGGGGCCTGCGAGATCAGTGTGAGCGGGGCTGAAAGCCGGGCTCGGCCGCTCTCAGCCCCGCTCACACAATTCTCACAGGTCCCGCTCGCAGTCCGGGCCCCGCTCTCAGGCCCCGCTCACACAGTTCTCACACCCCCCACTCACCGGCTGGAACCCAGTATTTGCTTGTGTTTGACACTAGAATCGTGCCCTGGGCCTGTGTGAGCGGGGGTGTGAGAATTATGTGAGCGGGGCCTGAGAGCGGGGCCCGGTCTGTGAGCGGGACCTGTGAGAATTGTGTGAGCGGGGCTGCGCTCTCAGCCCCGCTCACACAGATCTCACAGGTCGGGGCCCTGCTCTCAGGCCCCAGTCGCTCCTCCTCGCTCGTGCCTCCTTGACGGCGTCCGGGTTTGCCCCTACTGCTTGGCCAGAGCTGTTAACGACTCCGGCTCCGCACCCTGGCGATGAGGATGAAGAACCTCAGCTCAACACCGCACGCGGATGGCAACGTTCTGCATTTAGGGCGGTCGACGAATTCTGCTTCCGCTCCATCCTTCGCGAGCTTGATCCCCGCGCTGCCGCTCTACTGGACTCGCAGGCAGGCCTCTTCGCTGCGCGTATCCTCACGGCCAGGCCTACTTCCCCTGAACTTTCACTTGCACCTTCGCACTTCCGAGTGTTGCTGTTGCGGCGCCTCCGGCTCCCTCTGCCGCTCACTGCCGCTTACTGTCGCTGCCGACGTCGCCAGAACGAGTTAGGGGATCACCTCGCTGCATGCTTTAGGGTTTAGCAGGGGTTTAGGGTTTAGGGTTTAGGATTCAGCAGCTCCCGGCTCGAGCA